TAAAATTGTCATGCAAAGAAAATATTTAAATTTGCCATTAAATTTATCTTGGTTGTAATAATTCATAATATTAGGTTAAAATATTAAACATTTAAATATTGCCTACAATAGTTATGCAAATTATGCTTAAATTATACTGATAAAAAAGTATGATATAATATCATATTATTGTTGATTGTGTTTGGAAGGGCTCTAAAAACTGCTCTCTTACCATCTTTTGCAAGGATGGAATGCTTTTTAAAAAGTAGATTATGCACTGATAACTCACTATCTAAAGATTTTTCTCTTGTTAAGACTTTTTTCAGTTTGAAGGTTTTCCATTGGTGCAAGCATTCATGATTAATTATCTCTCCCACAAATGAGAACTTTCAAATAATGAAAATTATGATCCAGGGGGTTTATCTTGGGAGATCATGATTTTGTCATCCCGGGTGAATTGTAGAAATTAGTTTATTACCTTACCAGGTCTATTTTAACTCAACTCTAAAGTCATGAACCATGTGTTGCTTTTAATGAAACCTCATAAACTGCAATAAAAACTATTTAAATGACCAATCTTAGATCGATTCAAGTTTTAAAGAGGGCTTTGTACCGAATCAAATGTTTTAAGAAATGTCATAAGCTTGAATATATGTCATTATGAACAATGCAAACTTTAAATTTAAAAGCAATACGGTTGATGGGGGACATGTTACAATTAGGTCTATGGGGGACTTGTGCCACACCTTTATTGGTATAAATTTTGATCTTTGTTTAGTTGAGAATGTTGAAATAGAATAAGCTTGTACGTGAGTTTGAGTAAAAAAATTAATTTAGCACATTGGTCAACTCAGTGTGGAGGTAGAGTTTATTCTAAGCTCAGAGTAGTTAGTATTTTATATTTTTATGCTTTTGCTATTTTTTATGAATTTTCATATTTGTGATGGTATTTTTATATATTTCTGGGACATTGCTTCTTCATTATTTTTGTGGTATTTTATAATGAGCATTTTTATTGATCAGGTTCATTGGTCGGGGTCGATTCTGATCCAAAATTCACTAGACCTAAACTTACTTGATCCAAACTAATTGGAATATTAAACTGGTTAGAAATTCAAAACCAACTATGATTTAGATTCAGCCTCAGGAACCCCATACACCTAATATTTATTGAAGTTTCTTCTATAAGCCAGCTACGTGGCATTTTGGAAGTCCTTTCTGAGAGTTGGAGCGAGGATGGTATATATACAATGGAGGGAAGCTCTCTAATTTAGATTCGTGAGGCTAAAGCCCTTTTTGACTTTGCTTTAGGTTAAAAGCTTATACGTAGGGCTATACTTAGGCTTGACTCGTACTCGGATCGTTCGAAATTAATTCTATTCAAAATTGGCTCATTCAAAATTGCTCGTGAACAGTTTGTTTGTGTTCAGCTCGATTTATATATTTATATTCTTGTTCGTGTTTGGCTCAAAATTTGCCCGTTTAAGGTTATTGGAAAAACAGATATAGGGTGTTGAATTAGAATCCACACTATTTCTATACGATAAAAGATGCAGAATCACATAACGACACAAGCTTGTGGTGCTTTAAACTTTTATATATATATATATATATATATATATATATATTA